ACAATCTGTGATTAGTTCAGCCCTGGTCGATAAGTCACTGTTCTCTAATTGGTGGCATTATTAAGTTATATATTAATAGCTTACAAGGTCATATACGGATTACTGATTAAAGTGAATAGTGTGTTGCAAAATGTAGATATTTTAGAGTATCTTACTGATTATCTTCAATTCATTCAAGATAATTTACTTGGGTTCGTGGAATATCTACTCCGTCTGTAGCTCTTCTGGAGTAACTGTCAGTTCCATGCCCGGGTAAAAGAGGACCGTTAAGCATGGATTCGAAAACTCCATTACTTAGAAAAAACATCCTGCTAAAAGAAGGCCCATCGGATCAAACAAATAATAGAATATCTGTGAAGAACAACAGACAGACATGCTTAACTGCAAATAATAAAAAGTGATTTCACAGGCCTCGTTTCTCCACGTTTCATGATCAGAAGACTAAGAATCTACTATTACTTAATTCTGAATTATGTTATTCTGTGGTTTTAGTTTAAAAAAACACAACAAGAACAGTACCATTTCAACAGAAACTATCTGGCTCTTTCAAATCTTTCTACTGTAAAGTTCCTTTAAAGAGGGAACCGGAAATAACAATATTTCTGAGGTGAAACAAACTACATAGGCTGCTTGTTTATCCTTATAATTAAGGAACTATTGAAATTGAGCAACATCTCCATTTATTTATTCATTTATAAAGTGAAAAATAATGTTTATTTTGAAGAGAGTGAAAGATAATCCAATATGATAACTTAATGATGGTCTATGGCCATTCAGCAATGAGTTCATAGATGTTAGTTATTCTCTTCTTCTTTTATCATACATTGACAATTTATTGAATATTAAATTCACTTCGTATTGTTATTTACTTGAGTCTTATCATGGATACAATTGATCAGTGTCTTGTTACCATTTATGTATCACGTACAGCTTGCCTAGATATTGTGTCAAGTAACTAGCATTATAAATTTGGATGTAATGGAATCTAGGATGCGGGTTTCGTTCTCTTTCAGGGTTTATTGGTTACCGGAGCTCAGTAGTTAAGTAGTTAGCACAATGGTGTTTGTAGCAAACAGTAATGAATGCGTGCACATCCACCCAAATGTAAAGAGACGCGGTGTTCAAGTACAGAACTCCTAACAGCCTTCATCTCGACTTTGTAGAATCAAACTGGAGTATGTCACAGAATCTAAGTTGAACGCGACCGCTGCTTATGGGCAATATATTTTGCTCCACAACAGCAGATGAACTGGTAGATGTCCATGAAGGCGAACAGATGGAGTAGTTCATATTTTATGGATTTTGCTATTGAATTTTATTCGCGGTTTTGCTACATTGAATGTTCGTTTAATCGCTGTTGTCAAACGATTTTCGATTACATCAGAAGTTTGATCACCTTCAAATTCCAAATTTGTATAGAGGTTTTTCTTTGAAAGGAAATAATCAGATTTCTTGTCACAACTACTTCGTTTCATATTCATGTCTGTCAAGCGGTCTGGTTGGCCAGTTTTCGTCAGAGTTCCTCGTCAATGCATTCCTTACTACATATTCGATGTATTGGGTAGCACAAACAGTGGACGATATTTCTCTTTCTGCCTGAAGGAATCCAGCTGTAGATGCTGGACAGCTTCCATTCCATGTCTGTTTTCTATGGATATATTGATCTTTTTAAGGAACCGTTACACGTTCTCATCAGACGCACATCGAGAAAAAAGATTGACTGATCTCCCTCACTTTATAACGCGAAGTCTAAGAAAGGGTGGTTTGTGTAGAAGGAGTGTAAAATATGTTCTAATTCAGTGTTGTCATCGCAAACGACAAATGTGACGTCCATGTATTTTACGTATAGATAAAATTGATTACTGATCGAAATGAGTTGATTGTTTTACAGTTTTGCCATGAAACAGTCCGTATAGTTCACTTTGTTGGCAGGTAACAGTTGGCATAAAGTTGAGTACCAAGGCTTTCTGTTAGCAAAAACAACATACAGATTACATAATTGAATGAATAATATACTTGAAAATTATTAATGAAAATGATCTATGGGGTGAATCAAACATACCCATCACTGATAAATGTTATATCCAGAACATATATTCTGCACATACCACATACAACTCGGGTACTCGAACACGAGAACCTTCGAATCTTTGTGAACTTCTTAGAGGTTCCTCGAATTCACACGTGTGCTGTTCTCACAATAGAGATATACAAAACACCGATATATTCTTAAAACATCACTACATTATGGGTAGAGTTTAACTGATTGGTTTTATAAAGTATTTTAGTAATGAATTATGTTCGTCGCTCAATTTCATGGATGAGTTGAAGTTATACATTAACAGAGTTGGATGCGGATAAGCGATCGCACACGAAACTCATAGGTCTTGTGTTGAAATCTCGCGAAGCGTTATCGTGGATACGCGCTATTGAGTAGTTTCACATTAGAACAAAACGACTGTCCAGTGCTTCGAGGTTTTCCATAGTGGTCCAGCTTCAATTGACTCGTGACCTACAATATATTTAAATTACTATAAAATTCCTAAAAACCCTTTTGATATGAATTATGTTTGTAACCATTTTCACGACAGTAAACATTTCTTTATATATAAGTTTAAAAGTTCTAATGATACTCAAAAGTGCAACTGATCAGTCTCTATTAGCATATGTGCGTATCATGTATGGACTGCATCGAAATAGCCATTTTCACAAATTCCATAGAATAGATAAACTGTTGCTAATAACAGAATCTAAGACCAGAATGTTGTCCTGCTTAAGATTCTTTTACTAAATTTACTTGTCAACGGTCGTTGATATTCATATTCAGACTCGAACTCAACCTAATGGCTATCTGAACTCAGTAGTTTGGTAAATCATGTATTAACCATTGATGCTTAGGTTACTGAATTTAAGTGTTTTTGTGAACAATGACAATAAACTATAAGCACACCTAGATAGAGTGAAGTAAATCTGTTAGATTCCATCTCTGGTCATAACCCTCGTAATTGCGACTATGAATTAGTTCCAATCACAATAATCATAATTGTCTCAATATAATTTCCCTTTTTAATTGTTATCAAGACTTTTCATTTCTGATTACCACAATGACAAGATCATTGAGAATTACCATGGAGGGAAAGGTGGATAGCATAGAGGGAAAACAGTACTGATTTCAGACTAAAAACAAACAAAGTTAGTTGTTGTATTAGCTACATTTAGAAGAAGGCCAATAGAATGAACTAGCTATTAAATGAATGAGAGAAATGTATGGTCTACATAATCATATTTCTGTGTAGTATACTGTAATAGCATATGGGTTTGTACATCTATCAATATGTATGACGTAATGATACCGTCAATTAGATAACAGTCATTTTTCGATCAAACTAATGACACATAAAGCCGTACGAGCAGTTTAGAGTATTTATCAGTTCTTCTTCCTGACTAGCTCTGCCTGCCTCTTGAGTCTAAATCACAAATCTCAGCCTCCACGATATGAATCCTGTATTTCAGACATACTGGGTTTATATACAAATCAAATAGACCACATCGCACTATAAAATAGAAAACAGCATTAGTAAAAGATGAAGTCAAAAGGGACTGTGAATGTGGGAGACAGTATTTGATAGACTGGGCATAACTCAAGAATGGTAAATGGTATAATAATAGTTCTTAAGTCAAAATGAACCACATAACATGAATATGAACAGTGTAGTTACTTAACAAATACGCAATAAGAAATATATGTGTATAGTATTAGTCCATAAATAGTTGTAAAGAATTAGTATTTTTACTTCTCATCGGGATATAACATACACCTCTTCTGTTCTGTATGGAAACATTTATTCGTCCTATAAATACATGATATTCATTATAATATCCATCCATAAGTTGCTTCTGAATAATAAGAGGATTGAATTCTATAGCTTAATTAGAGGTTTGAAGGTGTTTGAGGAACTAAATGCATCTCACTACTTACTTACGCCTGTTACCTTCCTTATGGAAGAACATAAGTAGCCCACCAGCATTATCCACCCAACTCTGTCACAGACAATCCTTTCAAGTTCTTTCCAGTTGTTAGTCACCATTTCATGCTTGCTACTAATTCTCGACACAGTGTGTTTGTTAGTTTACCTCTTTTCTATTTTCACTCAGGATTCCAAATAAGGCTTGCTTCGTGATGCAGTTCGATGATTTCAGCAATGTGTGTCCTATTCACTCCAATCATGTTTTTCTAATTTTATATTCAGCCGGAAGTTGGTTCGTTCTCACTCATAGTAGGCTTTTGCTTATGGTATACGACCAACGCATATTCAGTATCTTGCGTAAACAATTGTTTATAAATAATTGAAACTTATTGATGATGGTTATGGTAGTTCTCCAGAGTGAATTTTCCACCGACCACTTATATAGTATGATGATGAACATTTACCGTACATAGACAATCAGTTTGTACATGCAATACTCATTATCCGCAAGTTTCCTGTTTGCGATTCAAATCACACCCTAGATCACTGTTCATAATTGTGAAACAGATACATCTGAAATTCAGTTTAGTTCATCAAATACAGAGAGGTAGTGTAGAGTAAGCTCTGAAAGTATTTGTAAACTATAAAAGCTGAAACAACAATGAGACAACTGAAGATCACAACTTCTGATAACATTCGCAAACTACATGCTTGCACGATTCTAGAAACTCAATACAGATGATGGTTAGATGTTTATCAATTGAAAGTGGTATGCCTGACGGTAGAAGATTAAGAAGATCGAGGAGCAGAGAACGAGAACAGGGAATGTTTGGTGTAGAAGCGAAATAACAATGAAGTTTGAGACGATTGATTGACATTTTTCAATTGAACTATTTACTGTATGGTTCTCAGAGTTTACTGTGGGATTCTTAACCTTCTTTCTTCAGACATGTCAATTTCATTTGATAATGCATACTACTTATATCTGGAGATATCAGTAGCACACTCCACATTATCATATATTTTGTTATGATGACTAGCGGTAAGATCCATGACAAACATTTCGTTTAATTTAAAGGTCATCAACTGAGTTCATCAGAAATATTCTACTGTTGTTATTTATATTATCGATCGAACTTACTACCTATCCTATAAAGCATCAATTCTTTATCTACTGAACTGTTAAGGTTAAATACTCGGTAACTCATTCAATGCATATGATTTTTGTTTTCCGTAAAGATCTTTGTTTTTTACACTGTTTTAATATTTCGGCTGCAATTCAAACATTAACAATGATTGGAACACTATAATTCAATACATCTGACAAGTCCCAAGTAGGATAATTTACTTGTCAGTTTGTTAATGATTAGATATATATTTCTTGATTATTGATATAAGGGGTGATGGTAGATGATTTCATTGAATCGATTGATAAAGAATAATTGTCTTGTCAACTGTAATCTCTTATTCCGTTACCCTAGCAGCTAGTAATCTATGCATGATAATAAGACCTAAATATCATAGTTCACGTATTCGACACTATAATTTCAACTTGTTGAGTCCAAATTCATTAGTGAATCCATTATGGTTTTGTAATGTGTGCTACTGATATCATCAGATATTAGTAGTATGTATGATCAATCGAGAGTGAAGTATCTGGTGACAGAAGGTTAGGAAGATCGAAGGAAGAAGAATGGGAATAGAAAGCTATTGATATTCAAATGAATGAACAGTCAAATCTGAGATGAATGATTGACATTTCGCAAATGAACTATTTACTGTATGGTTATCAGATTTAACCGAGATGTTCTGTAATTTGTGTGTTCCAATACATCCGTTCCTTTTCACTGCAATAGTATCATTACATCTACAAAGAGTGTACTTATATCTAACAGTGAATAGTCAAATTACATAATCAAGGGGAAACTGGAAACTTCTACAATCATTAAAGATTAATCAATTTTATTTTAGAAAACTTCACGTTTCATTTTAAATACAGTCTGATATTCAATACAATTTTAAAGTGGAATATTCACTTCATCATCGATATTTATGGAAAGAATATTGGGAAATTCAGTCGTCCTATGCATAGGTAATGGAGGAGTGTTGGGCATGAGATTAGCGACTACATCCAGTAGAATACTTACTCGATTAGAAAAAAAAAGCGCTAACCAAAAAACAGAATTCAATTGTGATATCTATCAATAGATTATTATGATTATTATTGAATAGACTTCCCTAATGTGAGTGAAAGTGATAGAGAACTAACATGATGATCAGTTTAGTATTGAAGTGAAATATTGCTGTAAGCAATATATACTTTCAAGTTGATTCAGTTGAAGTAACAAAACTCCGTTGAGGTAATTGAAAGGTGAATTATGGAAACCGTCTAGCAATTAACGTTACTGAGTTTTCGAAATCCATTCTCGTATTTGACCAATTTAACGCACTTATTCAACAACGTGATTTAAGTCGATGATTGTATACGAGGATTAGTGACATATATATATCTTAATGGCCAGGAGAACAGAAGAAGAAACTTGCTTCAGATGTGGAGTCAGCATAAAGCTACTAAACTGTATTCATAGCAATTCATTAATCAAACTATAGATAATCTATTACATCTAGCAGAAGGGTTTTTGTACATAACATAGTATTTTCAATAGTTGAGATGATGAGTCAGTTGAAGCTAGACCACCATGGGAAACATCGAGGCATTGGATGGCCGTTTCGTTCTAATATGGGACTCCTCAACAGTGCGCATCACCATCATTATCATTACACCATGCATTCTCTGTCTTACTTCTCTTCTCTTCGAACATTCTTAGCCTTCTGCCAGTAGGCTTTTCACTTTCGATTGATGATACACACTACTTGTATCTGTCTATATCAGTAGCACACAACATTTAAGTAATTATATGAATAGTAGTACATCTAAGATTCAGAAAAACGAGAATACTCCAAAAGGGACTGATATATTATCACTGAAAGGAAGAGGAATTTGGATATATCTGAAAAGCACTTTGGTTTGTACATCTTATTACATAATAATCAAATTGAGACAATCTGATCAATCTTGAATGTCAACAAAGAGAGATATAAACAACTCCTTATTACATGAATAAACATTTAATTAGTGTTATTTATCTAACCTAAGAAATATATAATGCATAACTGAATGGTTTCATATATCTGTAGTATTATGGTCTACTTCGATATTAGTACTGCTCTAGTAATAGACCTCATCCTAAAATTGTAGAACTGATATGATGTAACTGTCTAATCTATAAGACGTCACGTGGAAGTCATATCATCATCTACCTTGATTCATTGTGTTGTAACAACCTTCAATATATGGCGAAGAACACAGTTAGTTTAGAGATAGAACAGTATATTTAATATGGATAAAAATAATGTTACATAAGGCCACGCCTGCAAGATCGAGCTATGCCATTCGATCGACTCGAATTAACTGAATTAATCTTCCAGCTTTTTTTAATCGTTTGGTCTTTCTCCGCGTCAAATATTGAATATCTATTTTCCCGATTGTCTCGTGTTCAGCCTTGAGGATTTCGTGGTTAGGGCTCAATGCCACAACGCGATATCGATCACTACACGTTTTAAAAATTAGACGATAAATGTTCGATGAGTTTATTCATAGTTGGTGCGAAATCTTCTCTATAATTATGAACAATTTCATTCATTTATCTGCGGTGTATTTGTTGGTGTTTCATAGTAATATGAATGCATGATCATAAAGCGACATTCCTCACTGTACTCCAGATAAATATCACGTTCACTACACAAAAACGAACATCAAATAACCTGATTATATAGATATGGTCTGGTGATAAACAACGTAAAAGTATGATTATTGACATTTCTACAAACAACAAACCAGGTCAACACACAGACATTTGGAAATCACACTCTCAGATTATGTGCACCTTTATTTTCACTAGTGTTACTTTTAGAAAAATCATTTTGATGCAACTGTGCATAGTAGATAAGATAAAAATGACATAGATACCATGACTATGTTATATTTACACACATAATCGTGTGTTAAAGTAATCGATTACTAGTTATAAATTATTGCTAAACACATTTAGGTAAAGCATTTCAATGCAGAGCGGATCAATATCAGTTCATGTTCTCATTAGATAAGACAATATGGAGTAACAATGAGTTCATATACCAACAGAATTGGTCAATAATATACATATGATCTTAGTAAATTTATTCTTCTTAATGGTCACTTTGAATCATCGAATCAGAATAAAACAATGAAGCACTTTAAAGCCTATAAAAGCTTGACAACTTTCAGTAAAATTTGATTCACTACATTGAACGAAATGATGAGGTGAGGGTAGACCAAACATACGAAGTAAATCAGCCAGTAATACGAACACAAATAACACTGTTTCATTAACATGGATCATTTTACATACAAATTTCAGTACAATCTATTGACAGGGTTTTATTTGGTCTTGAAATTGTCTTCCCAATTCTACGACTGTCAAGAAATCTGTAAACAGCCGGATTGGAAGAATCAAACACAAGTGATTTTTGTGAATGATACATTTCGATATGTAAGTAATCAGTCAGATTCTAATAGACATTACTCACAAAGAATAAGTCTCAATCAGCCTCACCCAGTTGTGAATGGCAGATTTGTTGAATTCTCGTTCTACCACGTGAGTGGATCACATTTTCTATTGGAGCTATTTATCCACATATTTACATCATTTTATTCTGTTAAAACACAAATACCGTTTAAATATTATGATGAAGATGCAGATGGATTAATGGTTTGATTTGATGGTAAGTCAGTAAGATTCTTCGACCTAAAATTGTCACTGACTTTTCTCGATCACGATTTATTCCATGAATCAGAGATGGTCACTGTGTTCAGCAAACCAGCTTTATACAGTTAGTCACATTCATAGATTCTTTGCATATTTTCACTAACAAAATTACGGGTGAATTATTTGTATATAAGAACACACAAGATTGTAATAAATCACAATTCGTTTAAGAAAAATATCGTCTCTTAATTTCGAGGTTTTGCAAACGAGTGAGCTCTTACATTATTCAGTTTGAAGTTTGTTTTATTTACTTAGCTGAAATCTCACCCACACGACACTTCTCTTTAGACTAAGTGAATTGAATTGAGCAAATGTACAACAATAAGCGATGTTGTGAGTGACGTCCGTTTGAACTTGTGAAGCCTACAAACTATCAAATCATATTTCATGTCCTCTGATACTTCTCTATCATAAACTTGATTTATAAATGTTTATTGTCTAGGAGTTGCTGTCTGATGACCATCGTATTTTCAACAACATGTTTCACTCGAAATTGAACACCTATAACATCAATTTCACGCACATTCATTTCGGTCAGCTGTTCAAATTGATGAATTACTGAATGAAAGGTAATGATTTTGTTAGACGACTGTAAGATAGATATTAGATGACTCTCACTCAGTCAGATGCTTTTAAAATAACTTTTACAGAGGTGAAATATTTTTCTGGGTTGACTGGATTGAAACGCTCATCCTGTCGTTGAAGTGACAATATTCTTTTAAATTTTGTCATAAGAGATAAACATTTGACCATATCACCATACATGTAACTCTGAGAATAGGCATGATAACTTGTATGCAAAGTCAGTCCGTGTTTAAACGTACATTTATTCAAAGAGATGCATATTCATTATACAGATATTTCATTACCTATTCTTATTTTCATTATTTCAGAAGAATTTATCGCTGTCAGATGATGCAAAGAAGCTATGAATGTCACTAAGTGTCTAAAGCTGTTTTGCTGAACACAGTGATTATCTTTGATTCATGGAATAAATCGTGATCGAGAAATCTCAGTGACAATTTTAGGTCGAAGAAACTTACTGACTTACCATTAAAATCAAACCATTAATCCATCTGCATCTTCATCATAATATTTAAACGGTATTTGTGCTTTAACAGAATAAAATGATGTAAACATGTGGATTAATAACTCCTTTAGAAAATGTGATCCA